TCTCTTTAAAATAAAAAAAAAATAAATAAAAAACAATGGCTACTGTAGATTAGCACCCCCTGCGATAAATTCAATTAATTTAAGTTAATGACCAAAAATAACACCTGCATATTAAGCTATTATTATTTTTAGTAGTATTAGTAGTGCGTAGTGTCGTTTTTTGTATGAAATTCCTTCAAAAATTCGATTAGAAATGGAATTATAAAACTGTTCAATATAATTCAAGGATATGGTTAACCAATCGTGTTCAATACCTTCGATTAACTCTGTCTGAACGAATACACTTCATCTTTCTTCTTCTTCATCTCTTCTTCATCTCTTGTCGCTAAGGGTAAGTCATATTTATTCTAGTCTGACAGTTCACACTTTCCACATATATTATCTATTTTATGTATGCCAGCTGTAGAGAGTAGGTTCCCATACTTATCATATTTCTATGTTCATGCATGTGCATGAACATTCTGCGGGGGGCCAGAGAAGGTTATAGCTAACAATTGCTGTCTCTGGTTTCTTTTCTTAATTAGGTACAAGGCAATTAGAGATATTATAATTATTACTAGTCCCAAAGAAATATGTCCATTCATTGTGTGAAAGAAAAGATCCTCAATATGTACTTTTTGACGGTGCAAATCCTCTACTGAGTTATTTACGATAATGTGTTGAAGTGGTGTTGGATCCCATGTGGTGTTGTGGTCGATTATCTTCAGGAAAAGTGGAGAGTATCTCGCAGTATTTGTAGATACTAAGTCCTGCGGAGTTATAATGTTAATTTTACCTATCTTGGCTGAGCATCCAGCGTTTAGCTCGATTATGCCTTGGTTTGTTTAAAGGACCATGTCTTCGTAGTTTCCGCATGTAATATGGGCTGACTTCTTCTCAAATACCTTGAAGAGCCATCGGTTTTTCCCATTACGTTTTTTGACGAACGTGTCCTCCTCGTATTCCATCATTTTGCACGGCTGCTTGTTGTTCGGTTTTATGGGATATATTTTACAACTTTCATCATCTGCATTTTCCCACGCCCAACTTCCTTCGCACAGGTATGTGGTTTCGCCTTCATGCCGGCAATTACCGACTTCCATTTCAGTCACTGAGTGATAGGCGTTTATCTCAGTGTTGAAGATAGGGAATTTCGTTTTAGTCCTCGGAATAACCTTTCTTCCTTTAATTACGAGTGGTATGGGTACTGGTTCTAATAGAGTGGCATGCTGATTTATGTATATTGGTAGCCTTGCGTCTATGACTAGCATGTTGTCTTTAAAAATGGCTTGCGCTTTCATTAGTTTGTACACTAACTGCAGCCTTTTCGGAGAGTTTTCGCTAAGACGAAGTTGGTTCCTCTGCAGTTTCTGTTGGATCTTGTTGAGTTCGGCTAACATCTTATTTGGTTCGATTAGCGATGGGTGTACTTTTCCTTGGTTAATATCCGTGCTGACTGGAGATCTTCGGTTTCCTCAATCCAGCTTCTCACTCGGTTGATCAACATAAAGAACTTTATGGACTCTTTGTAGATGAAGAAGTTTTCTTTCATAGTGCTTGTCCTTCTGTTTATTTCCTTTGTAACTTTTCGTTTTTGATTATTGTCTGCATGTTTTCTTCCAGTCTGTTTGCAGTGCCAATATCGAAAAACATTATGAACCGTTTTGATCTGTTGGCCGTTTGGGTGATAATTTTATTTTTCTCTCTAATGTTTTTTATTTTTAACATTATTGTGTTGCTCACTGTTGTGCAGTATTCGTTGAAATCATCCAATTTTTCGCGAATGATGTTTGTTTTACTCATGAGCTCTTCTGCTTGTTTCAGTACTTCGAAGTAGGCTTGCATGTCGTAGTAAAACAGCATCTGCCAGCTTGATGAAACGTCTTCCACTTTTCCAAGGTTGTCCATTAGCATTGCCGTTTGT